CCCGCAGTAGCCAACCTCGCGCTGGTGCCACATTTTTTCATGATTTCTCAGGCGGGTGAGGTTGACTACTGCGTGCCATGTCAGTGTGTACCGAAGCTGCTTGTTGTGTCAATGGCCTGCAGTAGCCAACCGCCTTCTAAGGCCCCGTATGTCTGCCTRTATGGGCGAGGTTGACTACTRCGGGCCATGTAAGTGTACACCGCTGCTGGTTGTTGTCGATCTGGCCCGCAGTAGCCAACCTCGCGCTGGTGCCACATTTTTTTATGAGTGGCCAGGTGGGTGAGGTTGGGTACTGAGTGCCATGTCAGTCTATACCGAAGCTGGTTGTTGTGTCAATGACCCGCAGTAGCCAACCGCCCTCTAACGCAGCGTATGTCTGCCTGTACGGGCGAGGTTGTCTACTGCGGGCCATGTAAGTGTACACCGCTGCTGGTTGTTGTCGATCTGGCCCGCAGTAGCCAACCTCGCGTTGGTGCCACATTGTTTTCTGATTTCCCAGGTGGGTGATGTTGGCTACTGTGTGCCATGTCAGTGTGTACCGAAGCCGCTTGTTGTGTCAATGACCCGCAGTTGCTGTTAGCCCTCTAACGCAGTGTATGTTTGCCTGTATGGGCGAGGTTGACTACTGCGGGCCATGTACGTGTACATCGCTGCTGGTTGTACTCGTTCTGGCCCGCAGTAGCCAACCTCGCGCTGGTGCCACAATTGTTTTTTTTTTTTTTTCCAGCTGGGTGAGGTTGACTACTGCGTGCCATGTCAGTGTGTACCGATGCTGCTTGTTGTCTCAACGGCCCGCAGTAGCCAACCACCCTTTTACGCAGTGTATGTTAGCCTGTATGGGCGAGGTTGACTACTGCGGGCCATGTACGTGTACACCGCTGCTGGTTGTACTCGTTCTGGCCCGTAGTAGCCCACCTCGCACTGGTGCCACAATTTTTTTTTTTTTATTCCCAGCTGGGTGAGGTTGACTGCTGCGTGCCATGTCAGTGTGTACCGATGCTGCTTGTTGTCCCAACGGCCCGCAGTAGCCAACCGCCATTTTACGCAGTGTATGTTAGGCAGTATTGGCGAGGTTGACTACTGCGGGCCATGTACGTGTACACCGCTGCTGGTTGTACTCGTTCTGGCCCGCAGTAGCCAACCTCGCGCTGGTGCCACAATTTTTTATTTTATTTTTCCAGCTGGGTGAGGTTGACTGCTGCGTGCCATGTCAATGTGTACCGATGCTGCTTGTTGTCCCAACGGCCCGCAGTAGCCAACCGCCCTTTTACGCAGTGTATGTCTGCCTGAGAGAGAGAGAGGTTGACTACTTCGTGCCATGTAAGTGCACACCGCCGCTGGTTGTTCTCGTTCTGGCCCGCAGTAGTCTCTCTCTCTCTCTCTCTCTCTCTCTCTCTCTCTCTCTCTCTGGTGAGGGGGTCACGTCGCTGCCAAGGCTTCTCATAAATGTTTGTGATGTGTCATGCAATAGATGGGGCCTSCCATTCAATCGWATGTCAACSGCGTGGAGACATGCGCGATGGAGACTCAGGACATGGTGAAGGGTATTGCAGGTGTCAGCAACGAAGGGATATCGGCCGGAGCAAACACCACGGACTGTGCAGTGGCCCTTGCGGGAATTTGTGCGCAGGCTGCAGACTTGAGCACGGATGGCGACACGAGCGATGATGGTGCAGAGTGTCTTGTTCCATACGAGAATGTTGAGAGGACGAGAGCAGGAGGACACTTCCCGTATGATGTCAATTGGGTGCCTGGTCGTCTTCAACCGGGTACCGTTGGAGGAACGCCGTGCTTTGCGTTCAAAGTGAATGGGGAATGGGTTCCATATCCCGCCCCCACAGAGACGTCGTGGAGGTGCGTGACTCTGTCAATCATTTTCGACAGAGTGCTGAGGTTGAACGATGCAGCGACCCCTGATGAGAAATCACGGCATGTGTTGAAACTATGGCGTGTTCTGGACGCGAAGGGCGATTTGAGGCTGAATGATTTTGAGTACGATAGTGTCGACTGCGGAGAGTCATGGGTGATTGGCGGGTTGGACACTACAGCGGGCTCGGTTTGTGCAGAGACTGATGCCAGGAGGGATCCACGGTGGGGTTGGGTGCCACATGACGCCCCCCTTCTTTGTGGCCGTGTGAGGATGCCCATGCGTGACGCCATGGGCAATGTATGGACCGTGTGTTACATAAGCGGCAGCTTCATGTCCAGGCACCTGAACAGGGAGGTGGCTGAAGAGGAGAAGATGACGATGGTTTGTCCCACCGCTGCTGCTCGTTGTTTTTCGCCGCCTCTTCGGAACCTTGTGGAGCTCGAGGTGGCAGAGGGGAAAGTGTTCGCGGGTGAGCAGGGGTACACATACACGCATGCCAGAGGGGAGGAAGCTACTGCTGATGGATTGTCCCCGCTGGTATGGAACCCGCCCAACCTGAAGCCTGACGTTCTGGCTGCCATGGACATTATGGCCCATGTCATCCCTGAGGGGCAGTTGCAGCACCATGTGGCCCCTCAGAAGTATGGATATCGTGTGAATTGGCTGCCAGGATGTTTGCATCCTGCAACAGTTGATGGCAAGGTGACCATGGCGGCCAAACTGTAGACAGGCCATTGGCTGCCCTTGGGGTGGATGCATGCAGGCATGGTGGAGCAGTGGCAGTTCCTGGTGGTACTGGCACGTGTGTCCATTTTCAATGCAGATGTGAAGGAGCACGTTCTGGTTGTGGAGCATGCAAAGCGGTGCTGGGAGAAGATAAGGGAGGAGGACCGTCAGATGGTGTGCATGGGTTACGACTCCATGCCAAAGCAGGGGATGTGGTCCATGGTTGAGGGGAGTCCTGGTGGGCAAGGGCAGGGCGATGAGGAGAACATGTACATGGCTCACATCCGCCGCAGGCATGGATGCTCCGCCCATGTTGGTTGGGTCCCGCCCGTATGTCGCCTGACATACGAGCAAGGTGGAGAGATGACGATTAGGTTCAAGGACCCGCTTGGTTTGCCGTTTCTGCTGACGTACTCGGATGGCCTCCTACGAGACATTCGGTATATGGTGCACGAGGACATCCGAGGTGGACTTCAGAGGCCGGGACAGACGGAGGAGACGCGCCTGGGGCATCAGGGTGGTTTGTCTGCTGAGGTGGAGGGCCCACGTGGCAGTGAGCGAGTTGCAGGGTGCTCTGCAGCGCAGGCTGACGTGGCCGGGCCCAGCAACACTGCGATGTCCCACAGCCCGAGGAAGGTGAAGGGGGTTGTGTCGAGGCCACAGAGGGGGAAGCCGGTTGGTGATAAGCGAAAGAAGAACCCCCAGCCTGAGCCATAGACTGGTCGCAATGCAGATGCGCCTCACCGGGTCCTGAGACGCCGCAGACACCCCGGGATGAGCTCTGACAGAGATCAGGAGGCTGCAGCGATCCACCGACCTTTGTATCCCTTTCAGGCCCTTCTTGCGCCTCGTCCGCGAGGTGATGGAGAAGGACATTTCCCCTGTTCAGGCCGTGAGGTTCCAGATGACGGCCGTGCGTGCTTTGATGGAGGCTGCGGAGGCTTACCTGGTCGCCAACTTCGAGAACACAAACGAAGTGGCGATCCACTCGAAGAGGGTGACCATCCAGGTGAGGGATATGAGACTGGTGGATAGGTTGACGAAGCCTCGCTGGGTGGAGAAATATCAGGGGATATTGGACGAGAGGGCGAGGTCTGAGGACAGGCAGCGATGGATGGACGCCAGACAGGCTGAGAGGGAAGGCCGGGGAGCAGGTGCGAAGAAGAGAAAGGCACCGGCACCGTAGGGGGGGTGGCGCAAGAAAGAAGGCTGCATGAGAGACAGTGTGTGTGTGCTTCCGGAATGCTTGTCTTGTCTCTGTCTGTCATGCTTACTCTTCGTGGTGTGAGGCGGGTTGATTAGGTGCA